GTAATTGTACTGCTCATGCTAAAGAGGTGGATTTACTGCAATTAGAAGTTAAAACAACATCAACGTTAACTTATGGGCTAATAGTTATGAAGTTTTGGGTTCCAAAGGAGCTGGGCATATTTCTGTGTTCAGAAATAACTGGGGCCAGTAGTGTATGTGATTTTGCATATTTCCTCAGCTCAAAGACAAAATACATACCATTTTTTTTCTTCGGTGCAAATATACAAATCACCTTTCTAGAGACTAAAAAAATTATTTTATCCAGAACAAGCAATCAGAAGTTTTAATGGATGATTAAAGGGCAGAAAAACACTCTTTCAGTCAATTCCTAATTGATAAAACTAGAAACAAAATATTTCTTATCTTAAGTTCATATCACATAAGCTATAATATATAATTAGTTTTGGATTCAAATAAGTTTGTCAGAGAAAAATATTAAGTGCAAAGCAGAGGAGGGGATAAGCAACACAAAAATGAATGCCAAGTGAATTGCAAAGGGCAAGATATATATGAAAACTGAGTCTACTCACGGTAAGACACCAGCAAGATTTCCAGCCAATCCAGAATACAAACCCTTCAAAATAATTTTCCCTCCACCACGAGCAACCTGATATAGGATGGAACGAGATATAAAATCAAAACATAATGTAATCAAAAAGTAGATATTAGAGAAGCAAGCCAAAACTTAACAATAGATTCTATCCAAAGATCAACAACTACAAGATATATGGAATGGGAAATGGAAAATATTAGACAACTATTATTCTTTTAGTCTTATTAGGAGGATGAAACATTACAAATTAAGGAAGCTCGGTGCATTGCTCCAGTAACAAAAAAATTCACATCAAACAGGATAGAATGAATGTTGAATGAAGTCTAATTTCTCATGCATAAGCATAATGTGAATGACACATAGTAAGAAATAATTATAAAACTTACAAAAATGGAACTTTGACATGAACTAACACATGGAAGCTGCACTAAATTGGGGGAGAAAATATTATTATCTGACAACTGCATTTTCACTCTTGTATGATAATCATGAATTGATTATTTCCCTCTTCCTTCCTAGGTCCTCCCTTCCCCGCAACGCAACCCCCACCAGACGGATGCAAACACAGATGAAGCAGAATTAAAAAATTTACACTCAATATACTTAACTCACCTGTAGTCGAGTTTTGATGGTATCAATGGGGTATAAAGCTGCTTCTACAATTAGACCAGCAACACCTCCAGCAATACAACCATCTGCAATATTCATAAGTACGTCATACAGCAAGTGAACAAAAAGAAATGTCCATAGCTCTGCCAAAAAGAACACAGGACAATGTACCCAAATAATAGAGATGGGGCTCGTGAAGAAGAAGAAGAACAAACCTTCAAAACTTACAAACAGATATGCGCTATGGTGTGCGAAAATGTGGAGGATGGGAGAAGAGCACATACACAACGAAAATGAAGAAGACCTAGTATGAAGCTACAAAGAGAGATGGTGCTACTGTGCGAAAATTTGGTGGGAAACCTGATGTGACAATGAGGGATGTGCGTGGGAAGCTTTAGTTGTAAAATGAAAGTGGATCCCCGCCCGCTCACCGGGGAGCGGGACCCCCGTCGGGCGGCCGTTGGCCGCACAACCCAGTGGAAGGGTCATCTGAATGCAAAGTATAAATCAGACTCGTTGTGGTTAAAAAATTTATCATTTAATCCTTGGGATCTGAAACATCTTATACATACAAAATATATAACTTACACACTTGTGGTCTTATAAATATAAAAATATTTACTTTTTCAATGATATCATCAAATAAAATGTAGTGGTTAAAAATATAATAATATAACAAGTTATTTATTTTTAAATTAAATTATATTTTATTATAATTTTTTTTCCTTTTATAAATAAGTTTAATATTTTTGATTGTTTATTTAAGATAAATTAAGTATGTATTATCAAAATAAGAAATTGCCTTTTTTTAAAAAAAAGTTCTAATGCTATTGGGTTAAAATATTATAATATTTTATTTTAAAATTTGTCAAAGTCATACAACTTGTAAGTGAGATGTTTAACACCTCAAGTGATCAAATGATAAACCACCTAAACCATAGTGAGTGAAAGTGAAGTTATCCCTAGAATAGAATAAATTTGTATCATGCAATTATACAACCAAGTAATTGCATGATATGTACTTTTAATTACAACAAATTTAATATTACTTTAAATAGTTTATTAAGAAAATGTAATAATTAAAATATTTCAAAAGCACATATGTTCATAACATACTTTCTTTCTTTCCTTTTATTCTCTAGTAAATCCATATGCAATGACCATATTCAAAAGATCACATACCATCAGGATATGACCACGAGTGTCATTCCAGACGACTAGGGGAGAAACTGGGCCGGGTCGGCCTACATCAGGCCAGATCTGACCTAGTATATTTTGTATAAAAAGGACGTAGCCCACTTTCAAAAGGCCGAGCCTATAAGCCCACATGCCAGCCTATATTGTACTATTTATTTTAAATAAATAAAATAGAGTAAGTATGTCTTGAAGAAAAAACAAAAGATATAAATTTAATCAATTGCAATTATTTATAACTTAATTATATTCGATTATATTTTAATAGAAATCTTATTTTATTTCTTATATAGGAGGAACCAACATCTCAACATGTTAGATTGTATATATGAATATATTAAAAGATTTTTGGGAGAGTTATCCTTACTACAAGCATCATGATTTGTTTGTTAGATTCATGTAGTTATTTTAATTTACATAGTAGGGATTTGTTTATTGGATCTGATGAAATATATGTTATTTAGTTTGAGCATTTTGCTTTCGAAAATGACTTAAGTGCATATTTATGAGTTTTGTTATGATTCATGATTCTGTTTGGACGTTGAAATTATGATTTTTGGTGTAGCAACTAAATTTGAGTACTTTGTAAAGTTGATTCATGGTTCTGCTTGGAAGTTAAAAATTAACAAGCTAACGGGCCAAGTCAGGCCATTTGTTTTTTTATAAACGGGCCAAACCAGGCTAACAGTTAGACTCATACTAGGCTTGGGCCAGGCCAAATTGAAATTTTTTGACGTAGGCTTGGGCTTTTCGGGGCAAAGCATGGCCCAGCCCAGCCCACTTTCACCCCTACAGACGACGTATCAAATCGGACAGAGTTCTGTTTCTTTCTCGGATAAACGAAGATATAATCTCACTCTCATAATGTCCGGGATAAGCACATGCATAATCATTTATCAGATATATATCACACTTATCTCTCTCAATCACTCTCCACCTCTACCATCACCACCACCACCACCACCATCATCTTCCCAACACAACTGGCGCCACCATTGTCACTACCGCCATCATACCAATAGGGCCGTCGTCACCACCACCACCACCACCATGCCATTGCTATCATTGGTTTCGCCACCAACCACCATACCCACCATAATTGTCGTAGCAACTGTCGTCACCTCCACCACTAAAATCATATGATCTGATGCAATTAAATCCAATTCAATTTTTTTAAACCCCAATCCAATTAAATCCAATTCAATTTTTTTAAACCCTGATCCAATCAAATCCAATGTGATTCAATTAAATCTATTCAATTTTTTTTAATATAAATATACTTTGGGATCAATGAAGTCACTTTCCATTTACATATTTTATAACATACTCTTTCTATTTCGGTTTTCAAAAAGTGTCTCGTAAGTAAAAAATAATGTATTTCATTTTTTAATGATTTTGGATGCAAATTGAATTCCGTCAAAAAATTCAAAAATATTATTTCTTTTTTGATTTATTTATTTTAATAGTTGTCAACAAAATATACATTCAAATATATTTTCTTTTTCATTTATTTTTTCAAAAGTTTTCGACGAAATTCATTTTCCGTTGAAAACTTACAAATATATTTTCTTTTTTATATTTTTTTTTCACAAAATTTCGACGAAATTCATTTTTCGTCGAAAACTATCAAAAAATTTTACGGAAATCAAATTCTGTGGAAAATTCTGTCAGTAATTTCAACGAAATTTTTTCCGTCAAAAAATTTCGTCGAAAATAAAGACTTTTCTAGTAGTGTTGACAAATCTTTTTTTACAAACTTATAAACTACATTATATCTAAGCAGTAATCAGTGTTATTAAAATCGGACCGACCCGACCTGACCCGGTTTAAGCAACGGACTGGCCATGCATCAGAACCGGTGCGATCCGGTCTGACTCGACCGGTTTTCATAAAAACCGGTGACCCGGTCGATTAACCGGCGACTCGGCCCAGTCCAAAAAAAATAAAAAAATTCCAAAACTTTTTTTTTTCAAAAAAAATCATAATGGACATATTTGAATATTTTTTTGCTTATTGACTTATATAAGTTATGTACCTACAACACTAATATTATCTCAATTAAGTATTATGCAGAAAATTTTGAATTAATTTATAGTTAGAGACGTCGTTTTCTGAACCTAAAGCCCCATATCACGATCATTATATTTTTGTTTGATATTTTATTGGACAATAATGTGTGATTTATTATTTTTATATTAAAATATTTGAAACTTTTATCATTGTTTTTAGATATTTGAGTATGTTTATAATTTTTTAATATAAATTATAAAATTGCAAATAATTACCGGGTCATGCGGTTGAATCAGTGATCCACTGATTGAACCAGTAATCCAATGACTCAGTACCTCGATCGGGTTAATAACCGGACCAGTTGTAATAACATTGAGTAATACTCTACTCAAAAAGTATATTATCAATAAGATATATTATAATTTATAAATATAACATTCTAGGAAATTGAATGTCCTGCACGATTAGGACAGCTGGAGCAACGCTTTACCTAACCCCGTGGTTATAAGAAACAAAGTCCAACTGAAGGTGCATACACCGCTGTCTCGATCTTGTGTTGGTTATAGAATCACAATTAAGAACTTGTGCTTTCTACCATTCCTCCATTTGTTCCACCCACCCATCCGCTAAATCAATGGATGTAGCTATTCTAGGCGATATCATTGGTGAAATCCTCGACGGAATACCCTCCCTCAAAACAACATGCTCACGTATTGGGCTGTTGTCAAAAGACATTGATCAACTCGAAAAGCTTCTTAAAGAGATCAAAGACGAGTTCCCAAGAGAGTGGCAGTACCACGCCCCAGGTGATGATCTGCTTTCGCTGCAAAAGGAGCTTAAGCCTGCGGTCAACGATTTGACCGATTTGGTGGAGGAACTCTCCGCCGCTGACTTGCGTCGGGAGAGTGACCCTGACCCATCCCTTTTTTGGAGATTTCTCTACGTGGTGATGGATTACTCGATTGTCTTCATATCGAGCCCTACTCGGAATCGACTCAGACTCGCTCACAAAATCAAGAAAGTCATAGAGGATCTCCAAGACGTTCCGAGCAAGGTGAAAGGTTTGCTCCCATCTGAAGAAGCATGGAAGAAGGGGAGAAAGCTGGACCCTGGATTTGATTTAGAAGTGGTTGGGAGAGAAAAGGAAAAGAAGGAAATCATAGATCAACTTATCTTGCTCCGGACCAAAACTTCTGTTCCTGCAGTTACCATTGTGGGGGTCGCAGGAATAGGGAAGACAAAACTTGCACGGTTCGTCTGCGAGGATGAGGAAGTCAAAGTTCTCTTTGGCTTTCCGATTTGGGTTCCTGGTATCCGCGACACTTTTGATGTGAAATCCATTGTAAGATTTGTCATTGAATCAGCTGCAGCAAGAGCAGAAGCAGACAAGAAATTCTTCATAATTCTGGATTATGATTTGAGAGTTGAGATTCGTGATGAAGATCTCACGGCGTTGAAGCGCAACTTAGAGGAGGCTGCAGGTCTATCTGTTGGGGCTTTACTGATAACAACACGTAGCAGTAGTCTTGTTGCCAGGAATATTGGTTCTAGCTCGTTTAAGCCATATGCTTTGCAGGGGCTTGATGAAGACGAATCTTGGAATTTGTTTAAGGCAACTTGGAATATTGCTGCTAGCTCGGTTGAGCCTCTTGCTTTGCAAGGGCTTAATTTGGAGGATTCGAGTATCATGCGAGATATCAGAACAAAGATTGTGGTGCAGTGTGGAGGAGTCCCTCTCGCGATAATAACCATGGCAAGGTTGCTTCACTCTCGTCGTTCCCAATTTGAAGAAGAAATTAAAGCAGAAAAAGTAGATGAATTGACGAAGGAGTTTCAACAAGAGCTAGCGTATTCGTACTATTGCTTCACACATCGTCACAAACTGTGTTTTGCTTATTGTTCCTTGTTTCCTAAAGATTATGTTATTGACCCTGAGACATTAATTCATCTCTGGATGGGGGAAGGATTTCTCAGCAGTCCCTCGATTCCAAACCCAGAAGAAACTGGTCGTGGGTATTTCCGCGATTTCCTTGAGAGGTCTATTTTCCAAGACTTGAAAACAGACGAGTTTAATGTTGTGAGAAGCTGCAGAATGCACCCACTAATGCATGACATAGCAAGGTTCGTCACCGATCTGTCCGATCAGAAGGAGAACATTACCGTGGATCCAGAAGGGCAACAAGTTCACGACGGAGTCCTGCGAGCCTCATTTGATTTCAGCTTAGACGTTTCGGGCGGAATTCCAGCTTCCCTTTTTGACGAGGCAAAGAAACTGAGGACCATTCTATTGGTAGCCAAGACACAGACGCGACTACCACAGGAGTTGAAGATGAGCACGTCAACTTGTGAAAAGATCTTCGACAGCTTTAAGAGCCTGCGTATGTTGGATCTCCATGACTTGGGACTCAAGAAAGTGCCCAACTCTATTGGGGAGCTGAAGAACTTAAGGTATCTAAATCTGTCCCTGAATAACATGGAGAAGCTCCCCGGTTCTATTACCCAGCTTTCCCTCTTGCAGACGTTGAAACTGTCTCAGTGTCACCTGCTCAAAGAATTGCCAAAGAACTTTGAGGATCTAATTAGCCTCAGGCATCTTGACATAGAGGGATGTCTGGGTCTCACTCACATGCCTGCCAAAATAGACAAGCTGAGTTCTCTACAGACATTGTCACTTTTTGTGGCTAGCAAGAGCTACCCCATGGGAGGCCTTGGGGAACTCACGAGTCTCAACAACTTGAGGGGGAACTTGGAAATTTGGCATCTTGAGCGACTGAAATCCCCTGCATCGCAAGAACGGTATTTGAAAGGGAAACAACACCTTCAGCACCTGACATTAAGATGGAATCACGAGGATGAGCAGGCTAAAGGCACAGACAAGGATTCACTGGCATGTCTTGAGCCACATGAAAATCTCACAGTGCTATTTGTTGTGGGTTACAATGGTCCCACTTTTTCTGATTGGCTCTCTTCCATTCAACACCTTGTTAAGTTCAGCTTGAACGACTGTCCCCAGTGCCAATTTCTCCCACCACTGGATCAGCTCCCATTCCTCAGGGTTCTCGAACTTCGGAGGTTGGACAATCTGGATTTCATTGCTGAAAACTCTGACAATACCAGTGGTGATAATGAAGGCTCCTCTTCATCTATTTCCAATAAATGTAAACCATTCTTTCCATCCTTGAAGGAACTTATAATCTCGGATTGCCCTAAACTCAGAAGTTGGTGGAGAGAGGAGAAAAGGGAAGAAGATAGACAATCCTTTGCCTGCATTTCCAAACTAAATATCCAAAGCTGCCCTAAGCTAGATTGCATTCCCCGTTATCCTCATCTCGATGAAGAGCTGGTCCTGGTGAATTCCAGCGTAAGATCAACGTGGGACACAGCGCGTGCTAAAACTTCGGAAGCCTCTGTTCCCTTCTCCAAATTGAAGTCCATGCAAATTGCGCGTATTGAACAATTCCCACAAGATAGTTGGCTTGAAAACTTCACTTCCCTTGAGAACCTTCACATTCGAGAGTGTTCTCACTTAAAGTCTCTACCCCAAGGTTTCCAGAGTCTGAGTTCGCTCCAGCATCTCACAATTGAGAGATGTCCAGCGTTAACTTCTCTGCCCGAGAGCATAGGCAACCTCAAATCACTTGATAGACTGGTGATTTCTGAATGCAACGATTTGACTTCACTTCCCAAAGAAATGGAAAATCTCAAATCTCTGAATACCTTGATCATTTTGGACTGCGCCTACCTATTGCCAAGGTGTCAGCCGAAAACCGGCGATGATTGGCCACAAATTTCTCATATACCACATATCCAGGTGAAGGTAACTTCTCAAGACTTCTAGGACTTGAGAAATCAAGCGAAGACTGGTTCAGCTTGTTCTTGCGGGTAATTTCTTATCTAATACCTTCTTGTATGTAGCTGTACTATTATTTACTTTTGGTACTTAATTATACTGGTACTATTATTTACTTTTGGTACTTAATTATACAGCATTATCACGTTATCTGTGTCATGGACCAGTTAAAATGATCCCAACTTTCTTTTCTCACTAAATGAAATGCACTGAGCATCTCACTAGTCTACCACTCTCTTTCAACTTTCATCCACTGTACATAACGGGAGAGTGACCAAAATGTCACGCTTTGACAAAAAAATTACCAGAATGTCACGCGAACAGTAAAATTTCCCAAACTGTCACGCGGCATAATTCGCTACACAGTGTAGCGAATTATGTATGCAAGTAATTCGCTACACAGTGTAGCGAAATATGCCACGTCAGAACACACAGAACCAAAAATGCCACATGTCAAATTTTGCAAAATTCGCTACATAGGGTAGCGAATTTTGCAAAATTTGACATGTGGCATTTTTGGTTCTGACGTGGCATATTTCGCTACACTGTGTAGCGAATTACTTGCATACATAATTCGCTACACTGTGTAACGAATTATGCCGCGTGATATTTTGGAAAAATTTACTGTTGGCAATTTTTTTGACCAAACGTGACAAAATGGTCACTCTCCTATACATAACCACCTATTAAATATTACATCGTACCATTAAGTCATCGATCCCAAAATCGTCAATTATGTGCACAACCTCGTCATCAATTATGTGCACAACCTTAATTGCTAGTGCACTTCAGCTAGACATTGATGTTCATCCCTAAACAATATGATTTTCAGGTTTTTTTAAGGAGGGAGAAGATGATGGATGCACTCAAGCTGAACTCATTGGATCGTCCGCTGATAATCCTATTATTGGAAGGAAAAAGCAATTCCAGAGAAATCAAGATTTTTTTCTTTTTTGCTTTGGCTTTTTCTTTGTCTATTTTTTGGGCCTACTTTCGCTCATGTTTGGAATTTGTTTATGAAGAATAATGAACTGTTGTTGTGACTTGTATTAGTATCAAGGACAAATTACAATTTGGTACTTGACAGAAAAAAAAAAGTAATAACACTAATGAACCTATTATTTTTTAGAGTAAATACCATTTCTATACTCATCAAATTTTACGATGCATGCTTTAGTCCCTAACAAATAAAAAGACTATTATTCATGGTCCCTAAAAAATTTAAAGTAGACCCATTTTAGTCTTTTTGAGAAACTAACATGGGTCTTTTTTGAATTTGTGAGGGACCACGATTTCAACTAAATGGATCTATTTTAAATTTTTTAAAAACCACGAATAATAGCTTTTTTATTTGTTAGAGACTAAAGCATGTATCATGAAGATTGCGGAGGATCAAAAAATATATTTACTCTATTTTTTTATTGAAAAATGTTTGGGTTCGGTCAATTGGCACATTTTAAGTAATTTTAGCTTCTCTCTCTTTCTTTCCTATTTTTCTTTTAGCCTTTTGATCGTACTAAAGCGTTTTCCAAAATGTTCCACTTGTTTAATTTTTTTGTTCAAACATATTACTAGGAAGACACGCGGAGTTACATGCGCATAAAGTCGCGATGGACATTGGCTGACGTGCATACGAGACAATTGTATCTCTCCCTCCCACGTTACTGATTACTGCGCATCATAGTAGCGCATGAGAACATAGCGCATTTGCTCAACCCTGCGCCCGCCGCCCCAGTTCCATTCTTATTTGCAATAAAAAGGGGTTTGAAGATTCTGTATCCGTTTCTAATGCTTTAATTGTCATGTATATCATATGTGAGGTTCATGGAAGATGCATTAAGAATCTTCACGGGATTTAATTGCCAATCAATACAGATACATGACATCAAAACCGTATTCTTTTATTCTTTTTTATGGAAAAGTGATAAATTTAACGCAATAAATTTTTGTGTGTGGATCAATTGTTTGGTACGTGGCGCAGAAATGACATAACAAGGTCTACATCTACAAAAAAAAAACTTGTTTTAAAAATGAGAAATATTTTTTCTCATGGATCTACTAAAAAAACAAAAACAAAAAGAGTCATATCCATTTGTTTGTGTATTGCATGCAACATGAGAAAAATATATATATATATTTTTTGGATACATAAAATATATCCCTTTAGAAATTAGTAGAACTGAGTGGAACAGAATAAGGTGCAGTCAAGTAAACAATGGAACCAGTTCAAGAGAGTGCGACTGGGGGGAGACCAAACGCACAGACGCATGAGAGATGCGGTTATGTCATATGCGTGTCAGCCACCGTCAGATATTATGGAAGAACGCGGTGCCTCCAGCTACGCGACTTTACGCGTCTTCCTCCATTACATTAATAATACGTTTTACCAAAAAACGAATCAGGTAAAATATTTTAAAAATACATTAAGGGAAAAGTGTGTATAATTTTAAAGGATGTAAAGTTGTGTCATTTTAAGAGAGAGAAAGAGATAGATTAAGGAGGAGAGAGAGTTGACAAAAAAAAATAAAGGTGTGGGTCCCACCTCTTTGTGAGAGTGAAAGGATATAAGTTGTGTAATTTTAAATGATAGACACTTTTCCCATACATTAATACGGTCAAAAAGCCTTTTTTTCTAATCATAATCATCCTTGTAAATCTGAACAAGAATCTCTGATCCACAGTATTGTTGAATGTAAAGCCTTGACTTCGCATTCTCCCTCCTCCAAGTCTGATACTTATCTCTATTTTTACATCAATTCCAAAAAAACTTGCCCCAACGTCCCACGAACCTCGTCCCATGTCAGCAGCAGATAGTTTCTGACTAGAACACTTCACTTTAGTTGTCTTTTCTATGTGCTTCGCTAACTATTCAACTGAACGCAATACTGCCATTACACTATACTTGCTTACATTCAAAGTGATGCTTGTTACTCGTTTCAAGGCCGATAAACTTACACTTTATAAGCCTCTATAATAAAAAAAAGTCTTAAATATTAGGTAAATTTTAAAATTTATAAAAACATTATATTTATGTTTTAAAATGTAAAATTTTTAATATCTCAATTTCACCCCCCACGCTTTATGAATTGTACATAGAGATATAAATATTTGAGGTTGTGATTTAAGTTAAATAGATGATTTGGTGTGTTTATAAAAGTAGAAGGTCTGGCATAAGCCTACTTGAACTTATGAGGCATTTTAGGTGTACCAAGAATTTAAAAAAATAAAAATAAAAAATATTATTTTTATTATTTAAATTTATTAAATGATTATTTTATTTAAAATAAATAATATGATACATGTTGTTTGTAGGTTTATAAGTCACATCTTAGACATATAAATATATAACAAATAAATTATTTTTTATATTTGGGTTTACTTTATTTTACTAAATATATTGTGGGTTGTTTGCCTAACATAGGCACATGAGTAAAAGAGAGAAGAGACACTCAATCAGGTTGAAGGACTTTGTAACTTAAGTTCACATGTGTTGCTGAGTAGTTTTGTAACCTGACATGTAGGTTCACATGTGTTGCTGAGTAGTTGTATGACCTGACACGTGTAGGTTGGTTATCTGAAATAAGGAATGTAATTAGGTTCTTACGTGGCTTTTGCATTGTAATAGGAATATAAAAGAACCCTGTTGTATGATGAATTGTTATCTGAAGAAAATACAATTGTTCGTTTCTTTCATTTTCCCTTATTTTTCTCTCTATTAGGTCAATCCCTAACAAATTGGTGCTTTCATCACATGAATTCTTCACGATACGAGTCCAAGATTTGGCTGAGGATTTCAATGCATTTCAACAACGTGTTGATGTTCGTCTCGGTGATAATCAATCATAGCTTTCTCGTGTAGAAACTCGTCTCGATGAGTACCAAGCACAAATGGCGATGATTGTTTCTCAGTTGCAGCAATTGAACACCACTTTTCTTTCTCTGGACTCTCGAAATCTTCGCACTCTGTCGTTTCCTCACCACGTTGATGTTGGTTCGTCTCCGACTCTAACATGGGGAGATCCACCAGATGTTGGAAACTTGTCCAAGGTGATGCGTTTGAAATTCTGGTGTTCATTGGTAAAGATCCTAATAATTGGATCTTTCCATAGAATTATTTTTCACCTTACAGTAAATTCCGGAGGAGTTTAAAGTTCCGTTAGCAGGGTTGCGTATCGAAGGCATGGCTGCCTGGCTGGTGCGTGGTATCAATGGATGTTTCGTACTGGCTTCATTCATTCTTAGAGCAATTTAACTACAACATTACGTGAGCAGTTCAGAGTCTCTACCTATACTAATTTGAAGGGTGTGCTTTCGAAGATGACCCAATCAGGTTCGTTACACGATTACATTCAACATTTTGAGATGTTGATTAACCAAGTGCCTGGCCTGGATGATGATCTTTACTTGAGTTTCTTTGTTTCTAGTTTGCAACCTGAGCTGAGAAGTGTTGTGCAACTTCATTCTCCTATATCTTTGAATCAAGCAATGCAACAGGTTTTAGTTTATGATGATCATTACACAGAGTTACGAGCTTCTTTTGTTGGTGATAAGAAGTTCTCTTCGAAAAATTCTTTTTCTCACGATCTTATCTCGAAGAATTTTTTCTCTCCAGACCCTATGGCATCTCCTATTACCACGGTAACAACACCTCAGCTTACTCAACCATAATTTCCTCCTTCCAATTCCATATTGGCATTACCTACTCCACCAATGTTTAAGAAGTTCTCTCATACGGAGCTACAGAGGAAATGTGAATTAGGCCTCTATTACACTTGCGATGAGAAATGGACCTCGAAGCATAGATGTAAGAATAAGCTCCTTTTGATGGTGAGGTATTTGTAGGAGTTGCAGAATGACCAGGAGGATGAAGAGGATATTGTCTGGAAATCAAAAGGGCCAACGAAGGTTCTTTCGGATGGGGCCTGTAAGAACCCGCACCGTTAATTAAGGAAATTAATCAGTTAATTACGAGTTTAATGAGATAATTCTATAATTGACCCTAATAATTATTATGAGGCTCTAATAATTATAGTAAGTGAGTAATAATGATGAAAGTCGCTTTTCTGACGAGAAGTGCAGATACCGGTTCTGCTAGTCGGTATAAATCGTACCGAAAAAGTATCCTGAAAAATTATAATAAGTGCATGATAATTACTAGAATGACATGTAGGACTTGTAAAACGAGTTTCAAGTTAAAATAATGAGAACTGGTGCCAGAAACTGGTACTGGCTATGAAAAGCGCGTACCGGAATGGTGCTCCGAAAAATAAAATAAAAATATGTTAATTCTTGTAAAATTGAGTAGGTTAAGAATCTTAAGTTTGGGATAAAAATGCTAAGCGTAGCAATTAAAGTTAATATTGTGTGTTAAATGCTTAAGTGACTATATATAAGCTTGTTAAGGCACAAAACCCTAGACATTCAGATTTCCTACGTGACTTGTTGAGGGTGGCTGACCAGAATATTGTTCCATTGGCCTTTATTCTCCATTTTTGAGCCAAGTTGTCATCTTTCACTTGGTCTCTTCCTCTTTTTTTGGTAAACACTTGAGGGCTATCATTGTGAGGGTGTGAGAGTGCATCTTCTGAGTTGTTGGCCACTGTGTGAGGTCAGTTTGAGGGCTGAGTTTGGAGTTTGGGTGAGAGCCATCTTGTTCTTGGCTTGTGAAGCTTCAAGAAGCTTCCTTTGTGTTGAAAGGTCCAAGCTTGTGTTGTCATTTTCGTATTCCTTGGTAATCTGAACCTTGGAGGCAGTTTGGAGAGCTCCAAGAGCCTTTGCTTTTCTGTTTGAGCTTTGGTAAGATGTACCAACCTTGATTATGAGTTTCAATGGTTTAAAGGTGATGTCTTCGCATGTAAATGGGT